TACGCTCTTTAGAGGATTCTTGGGTGATGTATCGCAGGAGAACATGCACAGATTGCACAGATGTTTTAGTGCTTTGTGCAGGGCTGGGTGTTTATAAAGCAAAGAATAACTCTTCTGGAGCCTGAGTGTCTGTTTGCTTCATTTGCAGATCTCCCTGAAGACAGAAAGTGTAAATCGTCCACAAGGCTGGAGAAAAATATATGCTTAAAGTAATGAGAAATCTTAAAATATTCTTGAGTTCTTGGGTGGTGTTACACCAGATCTGCAGGGAAAATCCATGGAACATTTTCTGTTTCTTTTTTTTTTTCCCTTAGAGTTTTTTTCCCCTTAACCCAAGAACACTTCTGAGTTCCCCAAAGAGAGAGCTGCCCTGGCTTTGCTCTAACTTCATACTGGAGTGAGACATGCCAGCGTGCCAGGAAGTCCAGGTACAGGCAAAGACTTCAAGGAGCAGAAAATGTCATAGCCAGCTCAGAGACAGGAGAAAGAAGGTTCAGAAACCCTCCATGGTGGGACCCAAACAGAGCAGTGTGCTGAAGGCAGCTCTACCAGGCTGGGTGGACTGCAGAGAGAGCGAGCTTCTGGGCTATGCAAATGTTTTTCTATTGCCCATTTTCATCTATTACACATTCAAAACCCACTGACTTGAGGCTATCAGGAAGAAGCAACACCTAGTTCACTGGTAATCCTCAGAACTGCATGCACCATTCCATTTTTATAAAAAGGTATCTTGTAATATTTTATGTGTTCTGTATTGCTCATGTAAGAGTATCACTATCATTTTATATAACTTAATTGCATTTCCTGCATTTTGCAAATGCCTAAGCTGAAGTTTAGAATTTTAACACTTCTCAAAATGCCCATGTATTTGCACAGAACTTAAAAGGTTAAAGCCGGATGGAAAGATGGCAAAAATAGTGGCCATAGATTTTACATGAAAACTTGGAGACTAAGTTCTTTAACTTATGAAACATAAAGCCTTGAAAACTTCAGAATAATCTGAAGCTCATGACTCTGCTTACTGAAGTATTCTTTAGTCATTATAGCACTGATAGTAAGGTTGAGAACATTTATTTGAGTACAAGTATGTACAACTACTTGTATATGAGTACAAGATGTATTAGTTCTCAAGAGTTGGGACAGTCATGGCACTGAGAATGTACTGGTATTTTCTGTAAAATGAGTACAGATTTCTGCAACTTAAACTACCAGTATAGAAATGCAAAGTTATATTCTTAGAAAATGGGAGGTTAAAATTACATTTTAAATATAAACATTTTTAAATATAAACATTTTTCAAAACTGGTATCAGTCTTGAATGATTGCAGGAAAGTCCAGATTTCCCATCATTTTTTAGTCTCGGGTCTTTACAATGAGCAAACATAAAGGCTGTATACAGTGTTAGGCATATAAAATCAGAAAATAAAGATGTAGCATACTAAGCATATCATGTTGCCAGGAATAAAAACTCATGGAAGCTGCATGTGGTACTGCTCAGAGAGAGTGCCAGTTCAGCCAAATAATGAAACCAAAAAGAAAGCAGGAATCCACACAGCAAAGTGGTGGATTCTGACTGTAAAATGAATGTATGACTGTCTTATATAAATAATCAATAAACTTTCAATTAAAATGTTTATGATGAAGATGTATAGCAAAGAAATTCTGGAAGCTGACCACAGTTCATTTTCAAAAAACATTTAGTACTCTCTGCTTAGACAAGGGAAGTGGGACTTAGGACTTCAGAGAAAGTGAAAATCTATAAGCGTCAGAGAAAATCTATAATGTCTTCAAGGACAAATTCTGCTCTGTTTAGAGAAAGACAAAGAAACTAACACCTAGAGGATGAGGCCTGATTCTGCTCTGTTTGGCTTGACGCTACCCAGCCATGCAGCCAAAAAAACATGCACAATAAATGCTGCCTTTACACAGTTAAAGGGTGGAAGAGGGAAATGCTTCAGAAAGGAAACTGAGGGGGAAAGAGCTGAGAAAGTAAGCCTACAAAGGCAGAAGGACTCAACAAGAAACAAATATTGTAAATGAGCCAATGTCAAATACATATTACATGAAGGAGAAACAGAAGCTGTGGGAATCTTAAGCAGGGAAGATTTCAGACTGCAGGGTTAAGTCTAAATGCCAGAAGACATGGCTGCAGCATATCTAAATAGCTTGTTTGATAAAGAGATGGCTTAACTGAAGCATCATTTCCCAGTCCTTGGCTGATAAACAACAGGAACTCAGAGGCAGAGAAAAACAGGTCAAAAGAGGCCAAAAAGTACATATTTTACCCAAAGCAACAGCTTTCAAAATGTACTGAGATATCTCTCCCATGACTTCTGCTCCTGGCGTCCATGCTTTTACTTGCATGTCCACAAACACCAGCTTGCCAAGCATCTGCAGCTACACTGACCTGGACTGCACTCCCTGCTTGACTTTTTCTCCCACTCCTCAACCTCAAGCCAAATAAAATTAGCTCTGATAGTCAGCAGCCCCAGTTTCCAAATGCATCACCAGGTCTCAGTTCTTTCACCTCCTTGTTCTTCTATGATTATCACGAGCATGTCCCTCCTAATCTTTTCACCAAGGCTATATGTCAGCAGATTCTTTCCCAAGTTTCACTCTCTAAAACACAGATTCTTCTAGATTGCTAAAACTGTCACCCAGGCTCATAGCACCGTGCATCTCAATTACGGCAATGCTCTCCCTCAGCCTGGACAAATGCAATCTGTCATCGTTGCTATCCATTCAAAATGCTGCTGTGAAATTCATCTTCTGAGCCCATCATCTGTCAGTGTCATTCTTACCTGTGCTTCCATCCATTGGATAAGCTTTCCCTACCTCATCAGTTATAGCTACTTACTTTAATTTCCAAGAAATTTCAAAGTCTAACTCATCACCCTTCAGCTCTCTCCAAGCATTTTCAGTCTGTATCCAAGAGGTTATTATGCTTTCCCTCTATGTCTGATGAGTTAAATGTGAGGATCTTTGTTCTTTCTGTGCCATATTTCTCTATAAACATCCCTGGATGAACAGCATGAGACAAATGAAAATATTACGTTCATTGCCGGATTAGAAGCAGTGAGGCTCTAACACAAAATTCTGTAACAGTAAAGCTGGGTAAATAATTTACAGCATGGAATATATTTACCATATTTTACTTAATTTTCTGTTTACAAAATGGTGCATTTGGTATTCAGATGTGTCCACCAAATAATCTTTGCAAATTATTCTTGCCATGCTGCTTAAAAACAAGCAAATTTAAAAATGTATGTATTTAGGTCACATGATAAATTTCTGTAGCCTAGTTAGCCAAATATATCTTTGAGGTGGCCTGGGTACAAGTAGTGGTGATTAAGTATCTAAAAATCACTACCTGACAATAACTTATAACATCATAATTGTTGTGATGGTGATTATTCCTATGCATAAATATTCCTTCTTAGTGTTCTCACAGGACTCAACCAACCTTCTCTGCAGTCAGATCATAGAGTTTTGCATACTTTATATCCTATTCCCATGCAACCATAGTTTTCAACAAAGGATATTTTGAATGCTTCAAAACAGCTGAAATGAATCACCTGGGAACACAGTGAGTGAACACCCAGCATGTGAATACACAGCATGTGAAGCAGGGTCACTAGATATCCTCCTGACTCTGGGTTAAAAGTTCCTCAAGTCCTGTTCCTGAAGCTGAGCCATAATCCAGCGCAGCAACATTAGATGAACACAAACTGAGATCACACTCACCATCTTTTCTGACAGCACCACCACAACAGTTTTCAAATTAGGGCTGGTACCTTCCACTGCATTCATGTCCCAAGATGGCCTTTGGCTTCTGAGCATTAGGAAAACAAACCCCTAAACCAGGAGCCCGAAACTTCTTTACAGTGTACTTGTTTACTTTGGTAAACTGCCCTACCAACCTTTAGCTATACCATTTTCAGTTTTATCTGTGGTACATGCTGTAGCTTTTCAGCCATGATTATTATTTAGATAGGTAGTAATTATTTTTCAATTCCTTTTAAAGTGCATTAAAGGCTAGAAATTAAAGGAGCAGGACATTTTTGAGACCTTTTGCTTTACAGCCTATCAACAAATACTATATTAAATAGTTTGAAAATTGTTAGTTTGCAAACCTCAGGCATGTGATAAAGTCAATATATAATTTTACAACCGCATCTCTTTTCTTTTGTGCATTAACATATAAAAAGAGACTTGCTCTATTTCTTCTATCACAATATTAAAGGCATTCCATATACAAAACATTCTGTAGGTTTCACAGGATAATTACACTGCTAATATCTTCAGTGCATTTATTAAATTCTACCTTCCCCTTTTTTTCTCTCAAATACATACTGGACACCAAATCCATTTAAGAGAAGTGAAGATGAATTCTCTAAGAGTTCTCTAATGGGACCAGCATGTGTGACATTTCCTTTGGAGCATGGCACACCAGCACCATGTCCCATTCATTATGTTTACTATGCATAGACATCTGCTCTCCTCTTCCTGTTTTTCAGTGGAAGTTGAAGTTCCTTATAATAACTTTTTTTAGTGAATGCTCTGCTCCTTATGGAAAATTTTAGTTCTTTCAAGGGAAAGATAAATGCCTAAACCCTAAACCATTCAAGTTGAAAGTGAGTGCCTCCTAGGAGCTGAAGCCTGAGTTAGGATTCATCACTGTGCACTCCTTCACTTTTAGAATGCTGTGGCTGATGTGTCATCTAAAGGAAACCAGGCTATAATACAGGAGATGTGTATTTCTATAAGGAAATGGGAATATGATGCCTATATTCCCATGGGAGTGCCATGATGACTGTTTCATATCGAAGCATTTGAGTTTCAATGGTCATATTTCAGACCTGGGTTTTTTTACACGTAAAACAAAAATTTTGCCTCCATATTTTTCTGAGGAAGGTCTGCAATTTAGGTAGAAAGCTACTGGGATTTTTTTCTGCCTTCATTTCAGTTATGTTTTGCTAGGTTAGGACTTGAGCTGTTACCTTGTAGATGTCAAGGAATCCACACTGGTGGTCGAAGCGCGTGTAGAGCTCGTTGAGCATGCTGATGACCTGCATGGGCGTGCACTGGGCACAGATGGCAGTGAAGCCAACAATGTCTGAGAAGAGCATGGTGACATCATCAAACTTCCTGGCCTGAACCTGCTGCCCCTGCCACAACTGCTGAGCCACCTCTTCAGGGAAAATAGAAATAAGGAGATCTACTGTCTTCTTTTTCTCCTCTTCCAGGGCTTGGTGTGTACATTCTAGCGTAGCCTTCAGCTTATCCATTCGTTTTTTCAAGCCATCCTGTGCCTTTGCTTGCTCCCCAACCAATATGACATCACGAGTAGCATCATGGATAGGTATGTCCGAAAGATGGAGGCCTCGGCCCATCAGCTCATCCAGCTTGTCCACACAGGGGGAACCCAGAAACAATATAGAGTTTGATTCTGGCACATGAATCATTTGTCCTTTAATTTCCATCACCTGTAAAACAAAAAAGAAAGGGTTCAGACAAGGGGAAAAATCAGCTTATAGATGTGGATCCTCGTTCTACTTTCTCCATCTTTCCAGCTAAAACAATTAACTGTAGCCTTTTATATGGAAGCTTCTTGCACTCACCTACTCAAGTAATGAGACTCACAGTCTGCTCACCAAATTGAGTCAGGAAATAACCTAAACTGACACAAAAGTATTCCCAAATCAGATGTTGGATTTTTTTTTGTACCCAATTAAATAAGAAAGCAATAATATGTATTCTCAGAGTGCTGTCTAAATAATGCTCCTAGATGTACCTGGACTTACAAGCAAATTTCTGAGTTGTTCTTTCTCTGTTACTTAGTTATAAATTACAAAAAGCAAAAAAGGGAAGAGAAATTGCAACTGTCTGAAAGCAGGTTAGTGAAATGAAGGGCCTTCTGTTATTTTCCAGCAAAATATCTAATACAAGTCAATTGTGGCCATTTTATAGAGGAATCAAATAAAAATAGATGTGAAAAACAGCTCTATAAAATAACAAATGGCATGGAAATATCGTACTAGTCTCCTGTTTCCTGTTTTCCTTCTCATACATGCAGCAGAGTGGAAGGCCGACACTCAGTTAGAATCTACAGATTTCTTGGTAACAGAGCTTCATCCAGTTTGTATTTGTGGGATAGCAGAAGGTAGAGTAGGGAAGGAGCATCAGGTGGTTCATCACACTGGTTTATAGGTTTTGCATTTGCCAGTTAGATGTCTAGATGTTTTGAGCACTGTCCAAGGGTGGATATCACTGAGGCCATGGATTGTCACCTCTTGCTCCATGACAGCACTCAAGCACAAAACTGCCAGACTGAAATGGACACTGAAAACTAAATTAAATCAGACAAACTTTATCTCTTTGTAAATACAGCTTGCCATAGCCTCTCTCATGAAAAACAACCCCGTTAATATTTCCATTCCAGGACTGCACAAAGACCAGGGCAGTACTGTGCTAGGTGATCTAAAATACCCACAGATCTTACCCTGAGGATCTCACAGTCAACACAGGCACAAAACACAAACCTTGTGCACCTAAGCAGTGTTAGGCACCATAATGCCTTGTATCTGTGTTTTCTATTCCACATAATATCAGAAAATGAAAAGGCCTCCTCCAGTCACCATTTCTTTCATCATGTAGCCATTTGCTTGCTGTCACATTATTCACTTATCATTTAATCCTCCTTCCATCCATAATCCTAGCAAGCAAAATAGAAAAACCTCCATCAGGGAATCCAGAGGTGTCTGTAATAATGATGTGATTTAAGTGTCCAGTGGTCTGAAAGCTCCTGCTGAGGTGACAGGTAATCCTACATGGTATTTCCATGTCTGGGGGACATTTTAGGAAGCACCTCTTTTAAACAGTTGTTTTTGCATAAGGTTTAAATAATATTTTTTTACATAATGCTGTCATTGTAAACTCTATGGCAACATGGGAATTGAGCCTATCCTGTCCCTATTGCCCTCTGCCTTCTCTGCTAGAAACCTAACATTCAGCTTCTGATGTCAGCCAGGGAACTCAGCAAGTGAAAATAATAAATGCAAGTCATTAAAATTGTCAAATTTTCTAATTTATTTTCCTGCACACCTACTAATATTTACATTCATAAGCCTTGCTTTCTCAGCTTCACTCTGGGACATTCATCTCAGTGGGAAAGCTAGTCAGCAAACTACATGAGCTGATTTAATGCTCCATGGCTAAGTGTTCTTTTTCTACTTTTGAAACATGGCTCCCTGGGAAATAGGATGCTTTCTTCATGCATGCAGGCTCATGCTTTCAAAAGGGCACATGCAAAATTGTTTTGACTTTGAAGTACAAGTTGCCAAGTATGAAATACATGGTACAGCATTTCTAAATTCTCTTCCTATTTTGTTCCCCTGTGCCGGAGAGTTTTCTGTTTGTAGAGTTTCACTCTTGTGCAAAATAAAAGTATCTCATATTGCCTCTTCCATCACTTCCTCACTTGCCTCTTCCATCTCCAGGTGAAAACAAGGTGTTTTCAGCTCAGGAGGATAGAGAGAGTGTGACCACAGACCCTGGCTGAGCCAGCCTAGCCTGGGCTTGAGCTGCATGTCAGCAAGGCAAGGCACCTGGCTTGGAGGTGTGTTTCTCCTGTTAACCTGCTGTGAGACTAGAAGAAAATCAATGCATCCCCCTGTGCTCCCACTTCGCCTCTGTCAATTTGAGGTGTTAAACTCTTTGATGCGATCACTGTCTGTGTTAATATATTGTGCCAACTTTCCCCGGGTGGACTTTTCTCAGGAAACACTGACTGTGTAAATAATGTACTAAATAGACACTCTGGAGTCCTCTGCTCTGCTTCTGGGTAACCTCAGGCAAATTATCAATCCTGATTTCTTATGTGGCCTTTCAGTGCAGCAGGAACAATGTTATTGACCACCCTGTAAGACACTTGGAGACTTATGTGTGAAAAGCAATAAAAGACACACCATCCTGTAAAATGCCTAACTAATAATAACCAAGTGAGCTGCCCCCTGCTTCAACAAGGCTGTTTCCAGAGCATTTTGAGAAATTTCTGCAAAGATATTCTCTGGACAAAACTGATTAGCTTCCTAAAACTGTCAAAGGTTCAGTGATATTTCAGCTTTATCCCTTAAATTATCACATGTTCTGTTTAACAGGAATTGTTGATGTTTCCTATCACTTCATTCATGTTACATTAGTGATTTTGTCATCCTGGTCCCTCTTGATGACTGATGGATGTTTTAAAAAATGGCCTGCCAGTCTCTTCAAGTTGCCAAATCAGGGAACAGGACAGCAGAAAAAAAAACTGCCCCAGATTTCCTGGGGCAAAACACTAAGGTCTTGTAAAGAACAACAGTAGAGAAGAGTTAAGAGTGCATCACTCTTATCAGCTTTTGCAAAGCCCTTTCCTTTCCAAAGAAGTTTCAGATATGATTCAGACACCTTCTAGCAGACTTCAGTCTGCAACTGTGATCCAGCATGACCTCCATCTCTTTTCTTTGATTTCTCATGCTTCTTATATTCTTCTTTTTTATCTAAAAATACAGCTGATGTTACAGGGTATCAGGTTTGCCTGAAGCTTGCCATAGTAAGTCACACTTCTGGGCACCTCCCCAAAGCTGGACAGCTTTACACCTGGACCATAAGCCTACAGGCAAGCAGGATGGCATCATCCATCTTCCTTGTAAGCAGGGAAAGATAGAAACATTCCTGTCATCAGTTTTATTTCATTACTGCTACATTTCATTGCCTTCCTGTCTCTTTAATTATATTCTCACTGAATAAAATGAGACTAATTCTACCATTTTCAGAGGCCATTCTCCTGATTTACAGTGGTGCAAGAGAATGCTTTGAAAAGAGCAATAATATATATCATATTCTACAGTCTTATGTTGCAGTGAAATGACAGCGCAGCCTAAGTAGCTCTGGGATGAAAAACAAAAACCCTATCACTGAAAGAAAGGGAGAGAATGGTTCCTGATTCCAGGGAACTCTTTCAGTGTCTCTCCCCAAAGACCCAGCTCAGAAATACTGACAGATTCTAAAGCTGCTTGTTGGGAGCATGGAGAGTCTCCAACTGAGCAGTGCACCACCAGCTCCTTCATTAGGTACACAATATCCAACCCTCTGCACAACTTCTGCATACTCTGGATGCAAGCCACCCTAGGACCAAAAAGCTTATGAATCAAATGCCAAATCCACTGCCTAATCTTTAAGGAAAAGCACAGGGAAAAGTTTCACTGGTTGCACTGAGGTACGACACTACTCCGTACAAAGATGCGTGTTTCGGAATAGTGATTGAGAGAAGGTGTACACATCTCCTCAAAAAGATTAAGGAAATACAGGATGGTATCCCTGAGAAATAACTGGGGGATTAAAAAAGATTTTCCTTCTAACTGGCCAGACCTTTTCTGCAGCCTCTGTAATACACAAATTTCAATGGAGCTGCTCCTTTGATTTTGATCAGTGCATAAACCCTCCCAAACTGTGATTATAGTCTTCTTTTTTTTTCAGTTTTATTAACTGGGATTAGGTTAGAAACTTACAGTGCTAGGCCACGTTTTCATACACAGTTGCACATCCATGCTTGATTTTATACAATGGACAAGTTCAGTAAGAGAAACAAAGCTGCTTCTTTATCAGGCTCATAGTTATTTAGAGGATGGAAAGACTGGGGCAAAATCAGCTTGAACCTGAACACCATCACCATCATAATTTCCAGGTACAAAGAGTTTAGGGTGACTTTCAGAAAGGAGATCCAGCTGCTAACCTAAATTTTAAAACAACTGGACTTCTCTGAATATCCTATAGGATACATGGCAGTGACTCAGGAACATTTACAGCAAGGTATTTCATAACATTTGAGGAGTTAGAAGCTATGAGGATTTTGTGAACACTGGACAAAACCGTACAGTTGCAACAGTTCGCTTGCAGAAAGAAATGCAATGACTTTCTTGCTATGTTTCCATGACATGTCTAGAAGGGCTGAAAGTATGACAGACAACACTGGAATTAAAAAAAAAAAGTCTTAAATTGGAAAAATGGGCTAAAGCTAGAATTCAAAATAAGGGCAATAAATATATTTAGATAGAAATAATCAAATGAAAAAAGCACAGGCAGGCTAACTTTTCCTAAGAAGATGGCCAGAGTGCAGAGTAGAACAAATGAATATAAGCCAACCTGGCATGCTGTGATTTAGAAAGAAAACGCTATACAGGACTACATAAACAAAAAATACAGCTTGCAAAACACCGGAAGTAATCCTTATACTGTGACCACCAATTTTCAGACCCCAGAAGGGCAAATCTGTCCCTTTTAAAGTATAACAAAAAGGTGGATCGATTGGAGAGTCTGGTGAAAAGCGATGAAGGCAATGGAAGGTGTAAAAAGTATGACCTACAAAAAAAATTTGAAAACATTTGATGGTTTGCCCCAGAGAAGAAAAATCTGAGTGTGGGCATATGAAAAAAATACTTTGTGCCAA